TCTTCCCACCTTTATTTGACTCAGATGCCTCGGGTAGCGAGTAACACATATAACTCTGTTTTGCTTCGCATTTGCGCAAAAAAATAATTCATGCAAAATTTCGTGCTTCTGAGTGCAGAGGTGTAAAAGCATGGCAAACAATCATCATTGCATTTGTCGCATGCCTAAACACAGGCTTGCTATCAGTTTCGACATCATCTGCGCGTAAGGTTAAAGTAGATATTTATATTTTTGAGATTTTAATTGGAGACAATTTTGACAATAGCAGGCAGTATTCGGTAGTTGTTATGAAACAGGAGGTAATGGACATCGAATGAAGGGGCGATGAGCGTTTCGGTGGCAGTCGCAATTCTGGATATGGACTGGATTAGCGAAGGCCGTGGATGAAAATGAGGATGTAGAGACAGAAGAGGGTAGGTGATCGTAGGCTGCCGTGGAGTGGAATGCTAAACGGGGGAATGGGATTTCTATGTTAACGCCATTTGTGATTGCCTGGATGGCAGTAGTGGTGGTTGTAGAGATAGTAGCGGTTGGACGAGAAGACGTCCACTTCCATGTGCAAAGGCATCCAGAATGTAAGAGACCTCAAATCCTATGGGGGGCCGAGTCAGTATGCAATCGAGTTACTCACAAAAGCTGGACAATGCGGTTGCCGAATGCACTACCGGTGGTAGATATAAAACAGAATAAAGTATTATGGGGACTTATTAGTGGAGTTTCAATCGGAGTGGCGAATTTTGGGTGTGTTACGGGTAACCCAAAAGCGGTATGACTTCTCTGGAAGCACAATTTGGAAGTGTAGTTTATTTATAGCTTTACTGATTAACGAGGTAAATTATTAATTAGTCAGTGAGCAATCGTTGATGCCCTGGAAAAAGGACGGCTGCAAAAGCAAACTGAGTACTGTTGTGGATACATTTAAGCGCAAAATGCAACGGCCTCTTCAGCGGTCAGGTAATAAGTGTGGAATATTGGAGGATGGAAAAGCTGCAAGTAAGAGGTAAATTAAGAGCTGCAAAGGGCATTTTCGTTTGTATTTGGCAGCCTTTGAACCATTTCCTACGCTAATACCAACGCTTTACCTCCATATCAGTCGAGATTAGTACATCTTAGACAGACTCCACAAGACAACCGTGAATTGCACGGCATTAGATAAGGCGAGAATGGTATAACAGTTTGTGCACAGTGAATTCGGCTGGATTGCTAATTTTGTCATATATTTTGGCCGGAGGAATCAGCTAAAATATGACTAGTAACATTTTTATATGTAATTACCTTATTTGTCAGTGCTCCTCAACTTCATTTGTAAGTCTTTTTAACACTAACTCAGCACATATAGAGCGTGAGGGCTGTTTATCTTAGGATGCCTTTATACATGGAAGTCGACATCTTCTCGTTTTATTACCGCTATCTTCCCAATAACTGCCACTGCTATCGAGGCAATCACAACTTGTGCTGACCTAGAGATCCTCTTCTCCATTTGAGAATTCCTCATTTCAGCCTTCATTTGGTTTCTTCTACTCACATCCAATCTCCCACATCTCCACAATTTCTCGAGTCTCCTTAACAGCCTTCTATCCGAGTGTGTTCTGACCTACCAACAGTGTCGCATACAAGTCGATGAAAAAGATAGTGATTTACGAAGAAATAGTTTCATCATGACCTATCTGACTAATGGCTGGAAATGCATGAGCAGGCGGAGTGGTAGCATTTGTCACCCTCCCTGGTGGGATGCACTTCTATCCCATCATCATCCGCAACCACTGTAACTCCACTTTTAACAGTGGAGCTTTTGATCACCCAACCGGGGACAATAGTTGCAGAAGTGAAGGGTGATAGGGAGGCCGATCCGGGTGAGGAGGCAAAAGAGTAGGAAGCAGAGGTGAA